TTTTAAACTGCATGACGATATCTACAAGGCTGCAAAGTTTCAACTAAATCGGTGACCCGAAGGACTTGCACTTTCCTTATTAGTATAAAAACAAGGACTACAAAAATTTATATGTATCATATATACTTCTTGAAAGTAAATTACAAACAGATATATTTTAAAAAGATGTATATTCTTTTAATTATATTGCAAATGATATTTTATAAAATAGTTATTTGAATACAACAGAATCAAGCATCGCTCCCAGACATTGAACAATGTTGGTAGACATAAGTGTATCTACTTTTTCTTCTAAATGTCGTTTTGGATCTTGTTTACCCACATTCTTTATAGCTAATTGTTCAGGTGTCATTTTTTCTTCATCTTCCAATGCCTGTAAGATTGAATTTTTAAGTTAGTACTTTTAATGTGGAGTTGTAATTTTGTATTTAGAGAAATGTGTAATGTATTTGAAGATTATACCTTATTATAGTTTTTGGCAAGTTCAAGCATTTCAGATACAATATTTTCGTTAAGTTTGCTGTGTTCTGAATATTCAGCAAGTGTAAGGCCATCCATCCATGTTTTTTTGTGTAGGTTTAATAGCATTTTTTGTTCTAACTCATTCTTACGGTAGTTGATACTAATGCTATAATAGTGGCGATTTAAGCCATGAATCAATGCTTGAACAGATGGTTTTTGTAAGTGACCTAAATTAGATGTAGTTTGACGTGGTTCTTGTCCTAAAACCTGCAATTTTTTATATGGCATTAACGAGTGTACATTCGAATTAGGTAAAAATTTTCATATTTAATTTTTTATTTACCATAGTGTTAGGAGTAATTAATCTAAATGCATCAATAACAACTTTTCCTTTTACTGATTGTATGGGATCTATAACAACAGCCACTGCTCTTTCACTAAGGGCCTCAAATGATTGTTGTGTATTAATATCTACACCAGACAGCCAACAGCCAAATCCTGGATGGGAATGATACCATCCTACTACCATCTCTGGCCGACCAGTTTGTTTGAGCATATCCAACATTTTTGCTTGGAACACTGGATCAACTGCTTCTACACTAACTCCCTGAGATAAATAGCATGATACTAATAAATTGAATACAAAAAACATATAACTCTAATAATTATTTTAACAAATAGAAAAACAAAATGTAGTAAAGATTCAATTTTTACCGTTCCTGTTTGAGGCATAGCAAATACATCAATAACACGTACAGTATAATCATCAACGAATTCACCAAGCATTAAACCCATTACTTCCATAGGAACACCAGCACGTCCATGTTTAAGCATTTTTAAAAGGGCTAATGACGATATGTATACCTAATAATAAAAATATGATGAAAATAATTTATTAATAAAATGAACTATTAAAATAAATCTAATTTAATAAATGTATTGTCACTGTTGAATAAGATACTTTAATTCCTAACTTTTATCATATGTAATAATAATATGAAGAAGTATATTGTGTAATTCAAAATTACTAAACATAAAACACAGTATAAAATATAAGTTTTGTAATATGAAATACAACTGGCTATTTAATGTGTGTATTGAATAAAACAACAAAATTTTTAATTATAATTATAGATTTTATCATTCTAGATTAATACAAAATGACTTTTGTTTTATTATAATTCTAAATAAGTGTAATATAATGGAATCTTTCCTTTTCAGATAATATAAGGATATAAGAAAAAATAAATCATTTAAAATAATTTAAAGAAATAATTGTAATAAAAAATTAAGATTAAATAAATTTTACCTGCTCTGCAGTGTCAACAAGTGGAGCATCTGAAGGTGGAGGTCCTTGGCTAAGTCCTGGCATAGCACCTCCTAATCTCAATAATCGATCCATCACTATTTATTTTGTATTGTTTTAATAAACTCTAAAAATATCATATAATGATTAGTTTGAAATTTAAAATAGAAAACATCCTAATTACTAAATTGTTTATTCATGTTTAACATAAACCAATTCAAAATGAGGTTAGTTTTATCAACAATATACCTAAGAAGAATTACATATTTTTAAATCATATAAAATATCACATTACTTTACTTACGTATTAAGTTATATCACCGATTACAAATAGTACAATTTATCAGTCATCCGTAGAATTAAGCAAAGATTCCTTTTATAAACGAATGCATTGACAACTCTCAAATCTGCACACTCATGAGCGCAGCCTATTGGAATAACTAGCATTTAAAGAATTTTCAACAGTTGTATTAGGCGTTTAACAATAATGGAGGAGGTTAAAACTTCGATTCGATTAAGATATACTGGAGGACCACATAATTTAGGTAAATTTAAAATTTCTGTACTTCACAGTTTATTAAAATAATAAATGTATAATTTTTAATTCAAAAATTATATAAATAAGGTTATGTATTTAATGTTATTTAAGTAATTTAAAATTACGATCATATGTATACAAAGCATACAATAAGGATATCTATAGGATATACATTTTATATAAATATAATTTATAGGAGATCCTGATGACAAGTTTTTAAGGAAGGTAGAGAAAGATGTTCTTATTTCAGAAAAGATGCGACATAAAGCAAGAGCAGAAAAATGTGTCGAAGAAGTGAAAGGTAATAGTTAATTTTATTATTATGTGAATCTTGATACATTATATTGTTTATGTTATTTTGTAGAATTTTCTGAATGTTGTAAAAATGCTAATTTTCTTATGCCTTTTAAATGTAAAGAAGAGAATACTAAGTTGTTAACCTGCTTAGGAAAATGGTTTAATGATCCAGATTTCAGAGAAAAATGTACACAAGAATATTTAGAGGAAAGAAGTGAATACAGAAGAACTGGTATAAATAAAAATAAATATAAGGAGTAAGAAAGATTTAGATCATTACAGTTAAAAATAACTTTTATAAGTTACAATTTACTGTGTATGTGTGTGTGTGTTAATACTGTTATCTTATTTTTAATGATAACATTAATTGTTTTATTTAAAAAAAATAAAGCAATTAGAATTAGAATTATATAGAAAAATAATGATTTTAAATTTACATGTATTTGTTTATAATTATAATAAATATATTATTAAATATAGAATTAACATGAATCCTCATCTTCCTCTTCTAAATCTTTATTATGCTTAGGGTTCCATCTTCTCCATAATAATTCTCTCACAGAAAATTCAGGAAGTATATCCATATTCAATGAGCTGGATGTTTGAGAAGTTGAAGATGGCCATAAAACTTGTGCAAATAATATTTCCTATGTTAAGAATATAATACAATGTAATGTAATGTCTTAACATTAAATGTATAAAAAAAATTGAAATTAATTCAACATTTCTGTAAATTACCTTAGCTGCAGTCTCTGATAATCTTTCTAATCCTAATAAACTATTCCAAGTTAATTTATGCATACTTCTATTTTGATCTGTGATTAATGTGTCACCATCCAAAATATCTACTATTACAATATAAGATGCGTGGTAGAATGGTGGCCCTTGTTTATATAACACTAAAATATTAAAAATTATTTATATTAATAACTACCTAAAGAATCATTCAGATTTTAAAATTAAGTATAACAAGGAAGAAAATAATACAAACAAAAATCTCCACCATATTTAAGTCCAGGTTTTACTACCCATCCTTTGCTCCGAAAGTAATGATATACAACATATTTTGGAATAAAATTTTTATCAGCTTTGCAGAAAAAATGCCAAGCACTATCAATATCTAATAAATTACCATCAAAGTCTATTAGATTTAAACAACCTAAACCATACAAAAGAAAAAATGTTTCTTCAAATGTAAGATGAAGAGTTTCTTGAATTGGGAAGCTTTCACTTTCAATTCTGGGTTTTATTTCTTTTAAATAGTTTTCAATGTCTGAATCACTATCTGGTAAGATAAGTAACTTGTTCTGGATATCTGTATTATCATCACTAAAACAGATATCATCTTTAAAACTAAAATTTGTAAAACATTCTTTTTCTTCATCTTCAATAACTTCTTTTTGATTACTATCACTATTATTACATTGTTTGTTAACGTTTTTGTCTATAATAATCACTGCATCTTCTTTCATGGGAAGAGAATTTCTATCTCTATCTATTTCTATCTCTTTGTCAGTTTGTTGATATTTTTTATGTTTTTCATCCAAAGGAACAGAATGTGTATCTATTTCAATTATATCTGATGTGCTTTCTTTTGTTGGACTGTTTAACAATTTGACATCATCTTCATCAAGATTTTTAGAACAAGAAAGTTTACATTTATTTTCTTCTAAATTTGTATGTTTACTATTAGATTCCACATTAAGTTCATGAAATTGTTTTAACCATTCTTGTCTACGAATCCACTGTCTATTTCTTATAACTGGAGGTACTCCGTACCGTGTTTTACCAAAGGAAGGAAAACCACGTGATAAAGATCCTTTCCCAAAAAAACCCTAAATAAATAATATTAAATATAAGTGAAATAAAAATTTTTGTTGTATGCAAATATTATATAATAAAAATTCTGATTTGAATTATATATATTTAGATAATATATATATCCATATGCAGATTATAATTACCATAGAATGTACTGCAACGATTTCATTTGGATCTATTATACAAGATCCTAAATCTGTAAGATGAGCAGTATATGTAGTCCATTCACTCTTATTACCTAACGCAATTGGAAATGGTAATTGTTCTTTTAATTTTACACATCGTTTTTTTTTTGGTTCTCGTAAATTCATTTTGTAATTCATTTTATAACTATAAAACTACATAATAATATAAAAATTTTTTACATTAGTCTGTTTAAATTTATTATTTTAGACATTGTAAATTAATTTATTTCTTATTTAAAGATCCGTATAGAGAAACTTATTATTATAAACACAGGCTTTGTTTTATTGATAAGTACTTGTCAGAAATGCAGCTAGATGTCTTTAAATAATTTTTTATTTTTAAGTAATTTATGGTTTCACTTTTGCGCAAAGCAAATATAAAACAATATTGCTATAAGTATATTATATACTAAAAAATAAATTTAAGTTTCCTTTTTTAAATTACTGTTGACAAAACACGAAGTAGGGAAACAAAAAGATTGTTGAAGATAAACGTGTGTAAGTATTATTAAGAGGTTAGCGTAACTATGTTAGAAGTTAATTCATTTTGCAAATATCATTCCTTATATACTTTACATTGAAAATTCTAAATAATTTCATTTTTTTTTTATAAAACTTAATAAAGAAAAAGATACGTGAGAAAAATTGTAACACACAATTAAAACTATGTATGTAAGTGAAATGGTTATAAGAATACTACAGACTAAAATTAAGTTTAGGAAAATTTTGAATATTTTTCGAAAGAATACAAATTTATTTATTTTAAACATTATATTTGTGAAAATTACATTTATAGTGAACATTATAAATAGTATAAGTTGTTATAATGTATTGTTACAAGTACAATATTTTTATTTACATTAGATATAATTTCTTTAACATTTTCTTATTAATATTAATATAATATTAATAAAATAACTGAAATTTTTAAAATGTGGTTAAATTGGTTAGATTCATCGACAAGAATTTATTGAAAACTATTAGAAAATTAAAGAAGTTTTCTATTTTTTATTATTTTAAAGCAATTTCTAGCATTTCATTAATATCAACTATTTTTTCTCTTGGCTTTCCTAATATTTTTCCTCTTTCACATTCAACATTATCAATTTTTTTCCAATCATTATATGATATCATTGGTACACCCTTTTGATTAAGTATCTTAGACAAACCTATAAAACCAGGTTTATTTTCTATAATTGATAATTCTTTACTTATTAATGTACCAACTTGAAATGCATTTGTCATTGTTGATAATATAACTCCAACAGGACCTGTTGCAACCCAGCCTGCAGCATAAAGTTTATCTTGAACTTTACCTCCTAAATGTCTAATACAACCATTTTTTGCATTAAATGGTATTGATACATCTATTTGAATTGATTTGTAACCAATGCTGCGAAATGCTAGACCGCATGGAATTTCTTCAAATAATCCAGTAGGTATGGCAACTTGTGTGGATATGTCATTACCTTCTAGTCTATTTATTGATAGTTTAATACCATGTACACTATTGGAACCCAAAAATTTCACAGGACTTCTTAAAAATATTGGATATAATCCTTTTGTTATTATTTTTGTATCTGAAGATGTTTCTTCTAAATTTTCTAGCATAAGTTTTGTTAATCTTTTTCGTGGCCTTGCTAAAGTATTAACTATTTGTTTTATATTTATAAAATCATCTGAACGCCAATAAGTTTTACAGCTATCTAATTTTAATATTTCTCGTAGTTCAGCAATTGTAAATGCAGCTTGTAATGGACCTCTTCTTCCTATTAATGATACTTTGCGTACTTTACTTTGTGACAACTTTTCTAATGCATATGATGTTATATCAGTATTCTAAATGGTTAAAGATAAATAGATTAAAAATATATTGTACAATATGTTTCATACAAAATTTAAAACATACCTTTAATTTGTCTACAGGTGTTAACAAAATTCTTGCAATATCTATAGCAACGTTTCCTTGTCCTAATACAACAGCTTCTTCTACATCTAAATTAATGTTAAGTTTACTATCTGCAGGTACTCCATTATACCAACCAACAAATCGTCGTCCTGATATTATATTATCTAAATTTTCTCCAGGTATATTTAATATTTTATCTTCTTCTGCTCCATATGTCTAAATCATTAACAAAAAATTATTACCATTAAGCATTAAATTAAATAAAAATAGCTAATTTTATATTATACATACTAATAAAACTGCATGGTAAAGTTCTTGCAATTCTTTTATAGTAACATCTCTTCCTACATTAACATTTCCTATAAATTGAAAACGAGGATTAGCTGCAGTTTTCTCAAAAGTATGGATAACATTTTTCACTTCTGGATGATCTGGAGCTACACCAAAACGTACTAAACCATATGGTACTGGTAATTTTTCCAATATATCCACTGTTATATTAGTGGTTACCTGTGTTAAAATCATTTCATTAGAACATTATTTTGATGTAATGGATACTATACATACCTTCATTAATTGTTGTGCAGCATAAAATCCTGCTGGTCCTGCACCAACAATACATATTTTTGGTATAATATGTTCAGTTGAAAATAAACGAATATTACTGTAGATCTTACCAAATTTCATAATAGAAACTTGCATCAATCTAGAAGTATATATTGCAAATTAAAATTGTGTTACATGACTATATTGAGATTATAATATTTTTTACAAGAAGGCAACCAAGGTTTCTCATTTTAAATTTAATTGTTTTAAATAATATGTTGGAAAAATAAAATTGCAACTTCTTATAATTATAGATTTGTTTATGCATATTTCGGTATTATTACATAATAGCAAACTAATTTATAAATATATTATGAGTATGGAAAGAGAACATACACCACTGACAGATATACACTTTATTATATATCAAGAATTTGGTACAACTTTGATGTTTTACAGATTATTATAATTTTATATTCAGTGTATATAATACATAATGAATATATGCTTTTATAATCCAGTGATTAAGGTCTGCTGAATAGCATAAATGACATCCTAAAAAAGTAAAGAACGTGAAATACAATATTGTAAAACTATAATTAAAATATATTAATATAACTCTTTTTACCTTCATATAATATAGATGGAGAAATTATTTCCAAAATAGCTTTTTCCTGTTTATAAGCTTCAGAAGAAGCAGCTTTAATTTCATTTAAGAAGTACAATACTTTATGATTGTAATTATAATGATATAATTTAATTTTTAATCCCACATAATTACAAACTTCAACTTCTAATGAATTAAAAGCACAGCTTATAAGATATAGAAGTTCAATACTAAGGTGAGTAAGCAGTGGATATCCAATTAAAACTAATGTTGTTCCAATGTCAAGATGTTGTAATATATTATAAATTTCTGTAATTATTTTATGACTATCATAAATGTCAGTATATCGAAAAATTAAAATTTCGTGTTTTGGTTTACAAAGAAGTTTAATTTTCAAATTCTCTATACTTTCTATCGAAGGAAATTCAATTTTGTAATTTAATGTATCAACAGCATCATTAATATCATTTTGTATTCTCAAAGCATTTTTATTACAGAATTTGGAATTACATATTTTATGAAATACTTTTCCTGAACGAATCTGTAAATCTTCTGGGAATTCAGAGAACTTGAACTATAAAGAAACAGAAATTTAATTTATACTATAGAAAAATTTCAATTCAAGAAGTACATAGTTAAGTATAGTAAGAAAAGATGAAGAAAAATAGCTTACATTTATGATTATACCAGATGATACTTGGATTTCAATTTTGTTAAAATCATTAGAAAGGCTTCGTATTCGATCTAAAGGTGCAGAATGTTGCTTTTTACAACGTTCATTATACGATCCCTGTAATGACCTTTTATATTGATTAATACTGACAGATTTTCCCAATATGACTTTATTTCCTACAATTTCACCCTTTTTTAACTTTTTTACATTATAATCTCTTACATATTTATCAGCAACTAGGCATTGCATTTGTTTCAAATTTTGTAATATTTTAGGATCAATGTAATGAAATGTATCAATATTATCCATTATGACTAGCAATTGTTTAGATTTAAAAAATTCAGTGCATTCTACAATTGTATTAATAAATTCACATGGAATATCATGCTTACTAAAAATTGCTTGTTTAGGACCATATTCATAATGATCTCTAAGTTTTTCTAAGTAAGGTGAGATAAATGTTGGTCCCTTAAAGTTTGTACATACAACATATGTTTCTGAATTTCCTTCTTTACTCGTTACTGGTTTTATTACATTGACATTACGAAAACAGCAAGACAATATATAAATCAAACATATTGTATTACATTCAAAAATTGTAAAAATTTTTAACACAAAACTACCTTCAGTAGATAGTAGTTGCAATGCAGCTATAATTTCACAAAAATGTAAATGTATCAGAATACTTTCTTGTTCTGCTGGAACATCTGCACAGTCAATGCTACCATCTGCAGTAATTAAAAATATATCATTATGTGGTTCTAACAGCTTTATAAGCCCATCCAAATTTTTTAAATTCATAAGATTTCCAGTATTATCTTCTCCAAAATACCAATGACTTAAGGTATGTCTTATGAATCTGTCATCATCAACCATTATAGATGTTGGATTACCCTCATAATACGGATTTAGGGTCATAGCAAACCAATCCCATTTAATATTTGGAATATTTGTTTTTAACCAGTGATTTAGAGATGTAATGAAAGCTCCAGGTGCTTCACACAAATGGATAGATTTAAAGCATTTATTGCTGTTATAAATACAATTCACTGGTATTAAAGGGAAAGACGATACTATTTCATAAAATTTACACCATGCTTGAGTTAAAAATTCCGGTTGAACATAATTTTTCAATCGTACCATAACATCCTTTGCACTGTTTTTGAATTTTGTATGTAAGTGCCATTCATCAAGATCATAATTACTTAAACGATCTTTTGCAGTATTCAATTCATTCTTTATTTGCTGTAATTCATTAACTGTCCATAGGCAATCTTTAAACATTGCTGTTGGTTGTGGCATTAAATAGCATCCATTGTTTACAATTGTAAAACGTTTATTAAATAAATTATTTATATGCTCTGTTTCCATTGTTTAATCAAGTCACTTATTTAAATGTAATAAGTTCAATAATTTATTTTATATAATTTTAAGATATAAAACAGAAATGTAATAAAATTAGAATTATAAATATATTAAGTTTTTTAAAAGAATCATTTTTCGATGATTTGATAAGGTTAAGATTCTTTTATGCAATTACCTCGGTTAACTTCTTACTTTTGACAAATGTAAATATTCCTCACCTTTTCATAATATAAGAATACGTATAATATTTTGTTTGGTTAACAAAAGTTAACAAAAACAATTGTTATTTTGTTTTTATAAAAGTGAAAACACTACACTATAAAGGTTGCACATTATAAACACTACTTTTATTTCACAATATAATGTAATTCATATTTAGAAGCAATTATTTGCAGATTTGTTCTAATAAAAATATTAGATGAACTATAAATTCAGGCACATAATAATGTATGAAATTCAAATAACAGTTAAAATTAAAACCGGCTAATATGTACTATGCGTTGCAGACGAGAAGTCCGTTGAGTAAAACATAGGACCAAATCCCCACTAATCCTCACCAACCCATCCATTCTACTGCTATCGCAGAAGTAGAATAAACGAGGTTTTCTTATGGGCAGAAATGATCTCTTGCTATTAGCCTGATCATATAGTACCGTGTGCCAAAAAAAGCGAACGAAACAATCGAGACAAAGTGAGACAGATGCAAGAAATAGATGCAAAAGCATAAACTTATCTTTAAAGCATTAACTTCAGATTCTTCTGATGAATGTTCATTTCCGAATTTTATTTAACTATATTTATATTTCATACAGGTATTAAATATGTGTTCAATATTTATGAAGTATGAGTGAAAACAATCATGTTTTGCTCGTGCAGTATTACTCTCATATTCATAGGCTTGCAATGTATTATTTGAGTATAAGAACTTTATGAATATCTTACGCCTATGTTAACGTATAACGTTACCGAATCTGAAGATAGTGGTTTCGATAGTGTCATAGAAGAGTGGGGACTACGAGCGAGCATGTTAGGCGGAGCCCTTTTGCCCCTGTGTCAAAACATCGGACTTCTTGTCGGCAACGCATAGTACAGTTTATTTCATATAGAAATATTTTACAAGATAAAGTATGATACATTACATAATTTAATGTAAATTTGGATTAAAAAATTTAGAAACTTAAAAATTCAGAGATTCTTAAAGTTAAATGCAATTCCCAATTTTTAATTCTAGATAATATAGATAAGTAGTATAGTTTTGATATTTGTAATTTCCAATTCATAGTTAAAACTATTGAAATTAAAATAAATTTAATTTTCAAACAATTAAGTAGTAATTATCATTTTTTAAATAAAGATTAAAAATTTGTATTGATAATTATGTTTGAAATTTGGATATTTTATGAGTATTTCACAAATTTTATTTCTCATATACAATTTTATAATTTTTTCTATATATATTAAAAATACAAATAAGTATTTTTTTTAAAGTAAAGTCTCTATTTAAAAATATACAGTATCTATTTATAAAATGTAATTCAAAATTTTTAATCATTTTATGTTTATGTCATTTTATGTCTTTTATGTTAGCAAAATGTCATAAAATAGCATGAGATTAGGATATGAACACAATGGTATTATAGAAAAGAAAAATGATCTTTATTTTTTATAAAAAGTATTATTAATATTCAATTATCGACAAAGTGGTAAATAATTTATTACACTATGCAGCGTTACCTGTAATATTTAACGAATCAAAATTTTCAACATTTAATATCTATTATTACTGTAATAAGATTTAAAGTTATGCAAAAACGTGATTTAATTGTAAAAAAAATTTTTATGAATTTGGAGAAATATGAAACTTATAATCAAGTTGAAGATATATGTACGTAGATAATTAACGAAAAATAATGTTTGAGAAACGTAGAGAAATAGCTTTTTTAATTATTAAAAATAATTGATAAAAATTAATTAATCCAATCTAATTAATTAGATCTAATATTTAATTATATACAAATAATTAAAAAAGTAAAAAATTCTATAAAAATATATGATAATACAAAATCGATATACTGTTTCATAATAGTAATTTATTTACATAGCAACGTAGAAACATATATTACAATAATCTATCGCAATATAAATGAATATGAATGATAATGCAAATGACTTTAAATGAAAAGCATGTGCGACTGAAATTTTTATTACAATATTTACGATTTTTAAGGTTATGATTTATGATTTTAAAGTTTGAACACCTGATGATTCTTCTTTATTTTCATTACACATAAGATGCAGGAAAGTAGTCGATTTTGAAAAATCCAGGAATCTTCCGATTGATTCTTAGTATTGATTAAAATTATTGAAACTTTGCGTCTTCGTCTCCTCGTCACTTTTTTCTGTATCCCAATTTACGTAACGCCTTCAGATCCACATCGCCATAGTAGTCTTCGCTATGAAATTCATTATTTATAATGTTGAGATGTATTTACTGAAACTAATATCTTAATTTCATATCGTAGAAATAATATATATTTGTGTTTTAACAGAAAATCGTGATATTAAAAAAAGAAAATGTTAATTTGACTTACAATTTGAATTGTTGTAGAACACTGAAAGATTTATTGCATTATATGACTTCAATTAATGTATTAAGTGAGGTTTTGATAAAGAAAGATAGTAATCAATAATGATATTAATATTATAAAATTTATATAACATATTATGGAAAAGGCTATGAAGTATTTTCATAAAAGAAAATGAAAAATTTAGCTTTTAAATATTAATTGAGGATTAAAAATTGTATGAGTAATATTTTATTTTTAAATTTGTGTTGTTTATGAATGTACAAACAAATGGAAATATGAGAATGTTAAATATGCTACAGTTCAAAATCTTTGAATTATTTTCCTTATGTATGAGGATTTACTAAGGGGTGTGCAATAAAATTTGTTTTCAATAGGGAAGAATTCTAATACTTTTTGTGTGAATTTATATCTTTATATTAATATAATACGTTTATTTTAAATTTTACTGAAATCACATTTCTTAACCTTGTTTAGTTTTACATATGTCTGTAGTTATTTCTAAATTAAATCGTAAAGTAGAATCCGATATTTATTATGCAATTGGGCTTAAAAAACTATCAAATTCTTCCATTCTAAATCTTCATTATAATTTTCATAGATGCATCATGAATATTTAGAGTATTAAATGACTGTGATACAGCATAATGTTTAATGACCATAGTATTTAAACATTCAAAAAAATCGCCATATAAATTTTGTTACTGTTACAACGAGCATGCAAGAGTTAGAATCACAACAATAAAATTCCAATAAAACAAGCAGAGAACACAAACGCCTAGACGTTAGGATAGGAGAATAGGGGTTCTGAAGAGCAGACAGATCTTTTTTTCACGAATTTTTGTTCCTTTTATTATACGAATCTTTCACATTACTTAAAAATATACGGACGAATCTAGCTTACGCAAGCATGCTTGACCGTGGCCAAGAGTGTCGGTGAGGGCAAGCTCGAATTGAAAATTTTTTTAGAAATATCGCCATTCATTGAACTTTTTCCTCGAATTTCTCAGTGAGAACAAGATCCAATGAACGTTCCAATCTAAATGACGTATACATCATGACCAACGAGCTTCCCGTTATTTCCATTTCCCATAATCGCATGTCTTACGATAGCGAAGAGAGTGTAAGGAGCAAGTACGAAGAGGATATAAGAGGGCTAAATGATGATAATAGGCAAGAAAGAATGAAAGAAGTTATCGATGAGACAGTACGATTATGACTCGAATTACCATTAATTCGAATTTCAATATAGCGAGTAAATATCTTAATTTTGTTCATCAAAATGCCCGATGGGGACGAAGATAAACAAATATTAAAGGCGGTGTAATCAAAAGAGAATACCGGTTGAACAGTATTTGTAGATTTTAATTGTCTTTCCACGTGTTGACGAGGTACAATCAGTCTCTTAATCGTTTCATTCATATTATTCGATACGGTTCCACACTTAAATAATTACACGATCGAAAAAACCGTAAGCGACAACGCGTGGAGAATTAAAATCGCAAGAAATCAGTCCATTGTTGTCATTATCCGTCGTCGATATCGTGGTACACAGATGAACATTAAGGATGAAGGAATTTGACATTTACTCTTCACAGTCACGAGACACTCGCGAGACAATTCGTGGGGTCATCTCGTGAATTTTTAATCGCGAACTTTATCCCGGATCCAAGCCAAACCATTGAATACGAAGCAATCACCGAATATACAGGAGGTTATGTACGTCTATCAAAATTTGGCTCGAATAGGAACACAAAGAATGAACATAACCGAGCAGCACTCTTGGCTCCTGGCTCTACATATTTCGAGGTATCGAACATCAGGATCGTTCGCTCGAGACTTCATGTACGTGTAAGTGTGTATGTTATATATGTGTGCACGCATGTGTAATCGTGTATATGTGTGATAGGAAAGTATGCGGAGAAAAGAGTTTTGGTAAAGTATCTGTAGGAGAGAGAAATGAAGAGGTAAAAGAGGGAAAGAAGTAAAGATGCGGGAAAGAAGAAAGGGAACAAGATGGGGAACAAAAGGTGGAAGATAGGTTAGAAATTATTCTTGAAGGGGTGTGTTGGGCCTCGCAGGTGCCGATGGGGGCCTCGGTTTGCCTTGAGGAGGCTTCCTGGTTTCGCCTGAATTTTGAATTCCGGCAAGCAGTTCGCTCTTCCTGATGCTCTTTAGGTCCAAGTCACCGTAGTAATCCTCACTGTGAAGCAGAACACCGGGAAAAATCCGGGAGTTAGGACATGCGTGATGTGCTACCTGTCTCGCGTGCATCCTCGTGTCGTTTTGTTTTGTAGTTAATCACGTGTATAGTTGCTGATTACGAAATAGAGAGGTCGCGAGTAGTACCGAACAGTAACACCGAGTGATACCGTTTGGACATTCTAGATGTCGTCAGCAATACGGATTGTATGTAATTCGCAACTGTAGGCAATAGAATGTCAGATAGTAAAACAGCAAGACTGTAAATCGAAACTTCTGATTTTAACTTACTTCGTTTATTGCTAGTTGTAGCAATTTTCTATCATTAAATTTTGTTTGAGGTATTAAATATTTAAGAGAATTTTTATTTTTTGTAGATTATTGTCAACAACAATATTATATAATACTATATAATAATTATATGTTATTAATATTGCAGATCGACATCATATAGTGCTGAATAATGGAGGTTACCGTATCGACATTCGGAACATCAGTAATTCTTTTTTTGGCTGATCTTACGACTTCGCTATATTGTCACCAGCGACTATACGTGAGAAGAGGTGATCACATGGCTAAATTTGTTTAGTACGCGAGTGCGTGCGTGCGTTGGAGACACGATGTATAGTTCGTCACAAAAATGTGTTATGAATACGATATTGACAGAATATTTAAACATTGATCATCCATAACACTGGATTTGGAAGTTACATAATCAAGAAATACGAAGGCAAACAAATAAAGCGAGATAATACTATTCGTTTGTTATATAACTATGGCAAATCGCTATTAATCATATTTCGAGTATATTTATAGTGATGTGAATTTTTATCTTTTTCAAAATGAGAAATTGTAATTATTTATGAAATTTAATTTGTAAAGGGTTGAACTGCTACAAGTACTTAATAACTGATATTCGATAAATTAAAAAGACATTTAATTAATTAATGAGAATTATTTCTGTAAAAAATGAAATTGTAAACATAATTTTTTAGAAGAATAAAAATTGATAAACAATTTTTGTTCTTTGCATGCAAATCGTGAAGAAGATAGACTATTTACAAAGAATTATTAGCCTTATATTGTATTACATATTTTTAATAAAAATTCTGAATTTTTAAAATTAATTTACGTTTTTATTCGAAATATTAAGTATTCATAACACAGTATTGTGCGACAAACTATGTTGAATAATTTTTGTATAACATTTAATTTGTGAATATTGTATTAATTAATTACACATGTTAGAGAATTTTATTGTTAATTAATAGCATTTATTATCACCCTAGTAATTTCCATATTTTAGAAAGGAATTACGTGTAGCCTGAATTTCAATCAAAGCATGTATTTTATTACAAAAATCCTGGATCATACAATGATATAATTAAAAACAAAAATAACAGGAATAAATTGGAAAATAATACAAATTAAACATCTTGAATTTTCATTTGTCTAAGACATACAGTTTGAACCATAAGTAATAAATGAGAAATATAAACAATTTTGCTTCAATATTCTGAATAAATTGTTAGACCTAAATGATATGAAATTGCTGACTAATCTATTAGTCTCTATCCAAGTACCGAAAACAGTATAATTAATACGTTTCGAATATTTGGCTTTCACACACGTTATTCCTGTCCTCGATGAAGATTATGTAAATATTATGTTACCAACATTTGGGTAGCCGTTACGCAATACCTATCTACCCGTTATGAGAGCAAGGTGTACCGCGAATATCCATTTAATTACGTCACTCGAAAAAGGTGAAATATCGTATGAACTTTCAGATTGTGCTTTAACAGCGCGGCTAAGATTTAAAGACTATAATCACACTTGAACTATCAGGTTTGTCCAGAATTTGCCTTTACGTAATACGTAATTGCAAAGCTTCCTGATCTGCTTAAATTTGACGACAGTCAGTCTTTAATACGCTTTTTAACATCATCAATTAAAACTCAAAGTGATAGAGAATATATAAGGAGATTTATAATCAATTTGCAAAAATTAGAATATTTTCTTCCATTTATGAGTAAAAAACTTTCTAATAATTTCGTCTACAGCAATGTATTACATTTATGGTATGCATTTCAATAATAGTCTAGAAATGTGGCAGTTACGTTTCATTTCTTTCAACGTGTTTCATAGTATCACGAATTTCTTCCTGTAACTCTGTCATAAGTCACGTTTATGGATACCTAATTTGTAAAATATTTGAAGACAGGACATGGTATGAATAGTTAAGCATAGAATTGGTAAATTAATTCCATTATACTTTACTTGGTGGTATCTCTAAAGTAAATAAATGTAATATAAATTAAACAAATTAAGTCAAGTGGAAGTTTGAAATTTCTATTTACACATTTTATCTTTAAATTTGATCAGTAAATCAAATTACATTAATCGAGATATAGAAACCTAAATTTATTTTAGTAATTACAAAACTAAAAGGAATTGCTATAAGTTTTGTCCAATAGTGATAAACTGTAATAAAAGAGATGTTGACTTACCATCCAGGAACGTCCTCAGGATCCTCACAGGCGCCGCTACCGTCGGCGTCGCCAATCTTGAAAACTGTACCGATTGGGCAGCCGTATTCCCTAGCGGTACCTTCAAGGCATATGTAATACTTTCTGCAGTCCTCGGGATGGGCGTGTCTGCTAAAGCTGCCGGATGCTCCGCTCACTTCGCCCGCGGCCGGACACGTGAAACCTCCTGCGACCTCTGTGCAATGCGATAAATACATATAAAATGTGATGAGATGGTAGAGAGAGGTGTATATTATTTAAACCTCATTTGCAGTCGTTTGGATTACGGACAACAGATGGAGCTAGATGGAAGTTTGGTGAATGATAAATAAGGTTATAACACTGTCGAATCGCACCGCGCGAACTAAGAGGTTAGCCGCTCGAAAAAATACAGGATGTGCGTAGGAAAGGATTGTCACGTATTGACGGTTGAACGACGAGCGACGCAATGAATAAATAATATTCAAGGATAAACGAGCATCGCTGATGCGTAATTGATTTTCGGTGATTGGGTATCTCGCGACTTACCTAAATCAGGTTGTGATTCAAATATTTACATATATTAAGCGAGGTAATTTTTTTTGAAGAAATGAATGTATGTATGTAAATGAGGAGATACGTTATTAGTACAATTATTTTAGCATTTTTTGGTGTACTTATTGCATGTTTCGCATATGTTGCACACATGTTTATATATTATGTTATTATATTTTATATATTTTACTTTGACATATTTTAGATATTAAATAATTTAATGAAATTTAGATTCACATATGGGAACGTTACTTAACCAGATCTTATGCAAATATGGAGAAATGTTATTAGTTGAGGATTTATGTAAACATAGAATAATGTTATAAGATGCATTATGTATAGTAAAATAGAAATATGTTAATTAGACAGAGGTATTGTACATAGAACAATTGAAGATTCTTAGTGTTTTGTTATCAGAAAAAAAATCAAACAAATAAAGATATGCTGTTAATAAAAACAAGATACACCATGATGGAAATATAATAACAAGTATCTAAAAATAAATTTTAAATTTATAAAAATATGTCACTAAAATTTTCATTACATGGTGCAATTGATATCAAATTTTATCAATTTAAAAATAAGAAAAATTTAATACCACTGGAAATAATTGAACAACAAAATGAAAATAGTATTTATAAGAAAGATAATATCACAACTTTCTTTAATCTTTTTCTGAAATATTTCAAACATTCAAGGTAACAAGAAGATAGATGATAGGAGATGGGAGAGAATAGAAGAAAGATACTTTTACAAATTCAACTTGAACCATAAGAAAGGAGCTATTAGCCACCTTGCCTCTTCACTATACGAAAGTAATTAGTAATAGAGGAATGATATTAAAATGTACCTTCGTTCTTGCACTCAGGTACTTGATCAGCCCACATACAAACTCTGGCTTCACGGTCGTAAGCAAGTCCAGGACTGCACTGGTATTTGGAGGCCTCTCCGTTCCAGCAGTTCCAGAACACGTCGCATTTCTTATCATCGGGGAAGATACCATAGAGACGAGGACAATGTGGCGTGCTAATCGCTGGCTCAAGCTGTGTCCTGTCGCCACAATCTACGTTATGGAGGTAGTCGCAATTTTCAGTGAGGAACTTGTTATCGCTTGCGTCGAAGGCGAGCCCATTGCCGCATGTTTTTAATTCCGCGACATTGTTGTCGCATTTCCAATATTTATCGCAGGATATGTGATGAGGATAAAAACCAAAGTCGTCTGGACATTTGAACGATTCCTGAGCAGTTACGCCTGTAATAGTAAAAAAAATGAATGATTAGTAACACAAATCGCATAAAAAAAAAGGATGGAAACAATGATCTATGTTTAATGCGATATAAATATAAAAATTTCATTTATTTCTTTAGGTTGACAGTAATTTAATAGAATGTATTAATAGTAAAACCAAAAGCATGGCGAGGAAATTATTTAAGTAGTAATATCAATAATAAAAGAAGTGTTACTTAAATCTTCTATCTTATTAAGAAATTTGATCAAAACTTAATTGTGTTTATATTAACGGATTAAAAAATTTATTTGAAAATTGGAATTTGCTTTTGATATTGAAAATTAAAAGGCATTTGTAAAACAATGCCTTTGACAAAAGAGTGTAATGAGTTTGAGAGTTTTAGTATTGAAGTCAAAAATAGCTCGTATAAAAGAAGCTTTTCTTATTAAAGCTTATTTTAAGGCATTATATTCTGCTAATTATCTAAGAAAAATTAAATAAAAACTTAAAAAACTTGTATCATTATACCTGTTATCATCATATGATCTATTAATGCCTATACTTATATCAATAATTATATCAATCATAATTAAAGAAAATATTTTTTATATGTGAAAGCATAACCTTAAAAAAAAAATTGTGGTGTCTTGCATATAATTTAATTTATTATACAATTGTTTTACTACATAAAAATTAGCAAAGTTAAACTTTCCAGTGCGATGTTGAATTATGATACTTTAACGCGCTTTAACCCAACTATTTATTCCTTTAATAATCCTAAATTATATATTCCTGTGTTGAACTCATCTAATCATGACCAAAGTTTCTTAGACGAGAACGATCCGTCGAAAAAAATGTCTTTTGCGGTTACACCCGATACAACACACTTAATAGTGCCAGGGATCATGGTAATCGTATTCAATTTTACCGCTCATTGTATATTACTATCGAGCGAAAATTAAACAATAAAATTGATCGTCAACCGCAAAACACTAACCCCGTGATTACAAGCATCTTCTTCCACCTCCCCTCTCCAATCCCCATTCTGACCGCTCCCCTCCCAATTTCTAATCGCAGTGCACGTTCGCGCAAAGGGAGAGAGATGCCAGGGAGACGATAAGTATATGGAACGTCGACACCGTTCCAGCCTTTTATTATCGATGCTAATGCTGCCTTTTTGTCGTTTATTATTCCGGGACTAACAATTACGCCTAATAATCTGTTATTCTTTTCTCGCGGCATATGATGTCTGAATAACCTAAACGTCTTATGTAAGGACACAAAGTGACTTTCGCCAGGCGCTTTCACTTTGGGCCTAGAGCCAGACCCAACAGCAGCAACAGCAGCCGCAACACCAACATGGCTCGTGACTGGGCCCTCCCAGCATCCCGTTCACTCGACTCTCCTCTACACGTTTCACCGTCGTATATACTATCCCTATCTCACTCCCTTTCTATCTCCCTCTTTCTCACGCACGCACACACCTTAATCTTCTGTAATTTCGCGTGTACAAGCGCACGACCCTCTCGGGCTCGTGTGGCGTTGTGTGTTCACTTTCATTTTTCTCGGAACCGATCCGGCTATCAAAAGTCGCGTCTCGAATCGGACAAAGTTGGTCGGCAATCGGAACCTTTGGCGATTTGTATGGTAAGCACGATTTGATCGTCGATCGTTTTATAGATTTCTGTCCTTTCGACAGTGAATTTTTATGCCCAGTCGATGATGGTCGATGATAAAAAGAAGGGTCAAGATCTGGGCCAAGGTTATCCTGTTGCAGCCAGGGAAGTCCAGGGAAGGGGAGTAAAAAAGAATGGAAACGCGTGTCGAGAAGGTTTCTCTTCGCACGGAAACTGAATACGCCTTTCGATCTCGTTTCAACAGTACGTTTAGCTTGAAACAACGAGAAAGCTGATGGTAGCTTTTCAATGGCCATTTTCCACACGTTGACAGGTCAACTGTATGCGGGAAATTCTTGAATTTATCATTTTGACACGAAGATCGAAAGATCGGAGAAGGTAAAGAAGTTTCTAGGTGTTTTATTAGTTCGCGATGTTAGCGAGAGTATTTTGAAATATGATACTTTGTGCTGGTTAGACGCATAGGTTAGATTTACTGGACGTATTTAAACGATTTATAAATAGCTTTTTTCCTGGTTATTAAGTGTATCATAAGTTGACCTGCTTTCCTTCGAAGACGTTATATTATAATGTACTATAGGATAATATAGTACTTCAATTTATAATTCAAGTAAAGCACTTTTCGAGCGAGCGATACATTTCGACGTTAAACACACAAGGTATAGATTGTCTAGTTTAACCGGATTTATCGAAAACGAAATAAATCTGGATTAATAAAACAACCGCGAGTAAACTCGAAGATATACGTTAATAAGGTACATAGAAAATGGTTAACTGCTCGTAAAACGTTAAATTAATCCCATGCACGGGTTTTTTCCGATCGATTCGATTATTCGTTTCGTCAAACAAGAAGTATCGTGTTTACCATGGCAATCGCGACGAAAGAAGAGTGCACTCTCTTTCTGATTCACACGCATATGTCACACACTTATGTCTCCACTTCCGACAAAATGATCGTGATCGTCCACGAGTAACACTTGCCTCCCCCGTTCCATTTTCCTCGACAATATTTTCCGTTAACGCTATTTCCTCTCCCCGTTTTCTCTATATCCGCCCTCCAGTATCCTCGTGATTGTATCTCGCGTTTATTTCTGGTACGTACCGGCGATCAGAATGGCGGCTATCACGTAGTATGTCCTCATGGTTACGAATATGTGTCTCCCGCGTGGTATAACGATCGGGTTACTCTTTCCTCGAGGTACGGTAACAAAATTGGAATATTTATGAAGGAAAAAAAAACTACCGTCACTTTTGCGATTACAGGCTCCACCGCGCAGAGAGAACTCTGTGTTTGCGCCCTGTCGTTCTCCACCTTTATATAAGTCATTGGTCACGTGTTGTTCCTCTTCCACCTCCTGTAGCACCTCCTTCTCTTCTCCTCGTCACTTCAAGAAGAGGTACTGTGTACCTCGCTACGTTTCTTCTCTCCCTCTTTCGTCCTCTCTTTCTCTTTTTCGCGCCGCCGATCACCCTTTCTTTTTCCTTTATTCTTCTTCGCTGAAAATGCCATCCAAAGACCTAATAGAGGCCTGGTAATAACGTCTGCCACGTTCTTTCTTTCCCACCTCTTACCCCCCTTGCTCGCCGTCGTGACCCGTTGCACTGCCTTAAATGCTAAAATAATTTTTTATTCTCGATATCTTCTGCTTCGACGAATCCAACTTCCCTTTTCTTTTGTGCTTCTCTTTATTTTTCGACTCTCGATCTTCGCCGTTCGAATACTCGCGGGACCAGTTTCGATCCAGGCTGGTTTTCACACGAACCGTCTCAAAATCTATTTCACGACAAAATTGGTTTCTTTCGTTGTTCAGCGGCGAAAGATTTTTGGCGAAGTGATGTGATTGGTATTTTAATTCGACGAGCTCAACGGATGAGAATTCCAGAATTTCCAGGTACATCGATAGACTTGTTTTATGATATATTTCTCATTCGTTTTATAATATAAATTCCATATAAAATGACATTTTCTCTGGTCTTGAATTACTACAATATTTTGTATCAAACAAATTTTATCGTGCATTAGTAGTTTCCTAAAATAGATGGCCATACATGTTTTTCATTAAGGTTATCAACACCACATATTACCCTTATTTGATTATAACATATCCTACCTTATGGCGCCATAAGATAAAGATATTGAAAAATCGAGTTCTTTAATATGTTTACTCACATTAACGTCCTAAACAGTCGATTATCATACGATTATCATGTTACCGAAATAACAGGATTCTACAGCACGAGAGGATTACCTTCAGTAGTAACTTTTGCAGTACGTAACTAATGATTCGTAGCGCTCCCACTTCTTAAGATGCTTCAACTACGTGAGTCGTTGCATCTAATTCTGTGCAAAATTCGGTCTTTACCATCTATCGGTACAGTGGTCCTAAACAGTCAGCGCACTGTTCCGTCTACTATATTGTTATTATACCGATATGTCGCGTGTACGTGGCGTATCTGGGCATCGAAATTCGTCGAACTCGTGCAGGTGCGACTGTTTTCGTACACAGTCGGCGTACTGGTGTGGTCGTACGATATGCAGAATACTGACCGATCGCAACGTGATTATAATAATAATAATTGTAAGGCCGTGGCGACTACACGATATAAAATAACGGAGAAGGTTGGAAGGGGGCGAAGGTCGAGCACGAGCAACGTGACTCACCGTGACACCCAGCTCCGATACGCCACCCTGTTCAACATTCCGATAGAGGTTATCCGACAGCGGCTAGTTAATGGCCGCTACCTTAAAACCGATCCGATTCCACAATCGACCGAAAATAGCTGGCGAAATTTAAATTCAGGTACCATTAAATTAATTAATGATAATTTAAATAAGGACCGGTGAAAATTGAGGTGCAGAAACCGATCAGCTCCACCTCTCGGCGAAAATGGATATTTTATGGATTTCGATTTTTCTTTTATAGGTTTAATATTAATGACATCCCGAACTGTTTATTACACAAGACAAGCAGCTTTGATTATTGAATATTAAAGTAACGTGAAAACCAGTTATCTCTATTATTCATCAATTTTCTGAGCATGGACGTAGTTTTTTAATCTGTGATCGGATATTTAGTTCGGAAGAGGAAAACGGAGAAAGTGGTTTGTTTTTTTCACTAAGATCTTTAATTCTACTATCCAGTATGAGTAATTCGTAGAGTAGGCTAATAACATTGAAATTGAAATATAACGTGATTTAAACTTTAAAAGCTTAAGGAAAAAACATGATATGTTACATTTTTCTTCTTTTTTTAAGGAAGCAGATTTAAAATTTAATTATGCTGTTCATCAATTCCTTATCTCCTGAAGTATCTTTTTGTTTAGTTTTATGACTAAACATGTATTTTTTTGTCACTCTTGAATATCTTAAAAATATTGATTGCTATAACATTATTCCCTTGATTTTTAATGTAATCTTATAATGTCATCACTTATTTTTGAAATGCTTACAATTTGTGTCTTCAGATTAATAATTTTTCTTTCTTAATTGTGTTATATTGAAATATTGTTTGCAACGGTATTGGCAATTTTTTATTTTTTATCCTTATTTAGTAATTCAAAGAAAGCTACATTACTTCAGAATTCTAGGTTTTATTTTTCCACCGTCAAAAGAGATTCTATAAGAAATTAATTTGTTAGAAACTTCTATTATTTCAGAATTTCTTGCCTACTTAAACACAAGCAAAAGATCCTAATTTCCAGTGGAAGTAACAGTTGTTACTACTCAGATAAGCAGTATTTTGTAGAAAGTTTCGCTACTTGAGAATTCTGCTATCTACTTTTTTATTAGGAAATAAGCTTTTAGTGAGGAAGTGCACTAATAAAACTAAAATATAAATGCAGAATTACTCAATGAATTACAGAAATTTAAAAATTGTCCGGTCTACATTATTACCAAAAAACGCGTCTGGTTATGCGATTTGATAAGACCAGATATATTGGTAAGGACTAAAGCAAGTTTAATGGCGCTGATGCATGCTAGCACGAAGTGGTTTGTACCTGCGACGCTCGTTTTTGGGCTATCGTGATAGAAAGTCGATTATATCAGGTCTGGACCGGTTGTTCGGTATAACACTTACTAACAGGTTATTATTCACTACTAATTCGCATTACCCAATTAGATATAATTTTTCGGTACTGTCACCTTTCTTTTCCAGGTCTATTGAAATATGTCGGAATTGTTTCTCCCATTTCGGTCGCTGAAAATTTGAATCAAGGAACGATTGACATTTATTTCCTTACATCATCCATTCGCATTTCTGGCACTTGTTGCGTTTCTTCCATAAGAAAGTCTCAAGGATTTTGTAATTATTTCGTCACATTTCTCTTACATCTTGTGGTGAGGTTTGCTTCTGTCCATGCGGGAGAATATTTTGAAAGAAAGTGATCACGGATCGATCAAATTTTTCTCGTTGATATGCATTGGTCGGGAAGTAATATTAGCTTAAACGCTTCTTAAATAGATATTATATTTATTTATTCAGTGTTACTTTTTTAAACAAATAATACTGGATTCAATTTAAATTTTTCACAGTCCATTAAGAGATTATTTATTCTACCATTCTTATAAACTACTTTTGTATACTCTTAGTCACAAATTCATGTTGGTTCCCATGTTTTATATTATTTCAAATTTTTTCCAAATAGATATAATATTAATTTTAATGTTTTCTCAATATTATATCTGTGTAATGCAATATTGCATTCATAAATATAATGATATATTAAATTTGATACAGTTAATCATGAAAACGTTGTTTTTAAAATTTTAATATCAAATTAACGTTAATAAATATAATCAGATTAATTAAGGAAACGATTTTTTTATCATTTTAATATGCCAATTTTACATAATCTTAACATTAAGTTAACACTATTCTAGTTTCGTGAGTTTCCAAGAAGAAGTAAAAGCGTAAACTATACCAGGTTCGAATTTTGTGTTCTTGGACGATTGGAATTTTCGAAATCTGACAGTGTTCTAAAAAAAAGAAGAACCAAGGGAACAAACGGTAACAGAGAGCTATTCTAATTCAACGTATTTCCGTGGAGACCGTTTCAATGAAGGCAGACAGGCGCATGTTAATGCCGGACGCTTTCGACGACAACGGAACTTTCTCGCTCGACTTAATCCAGTTTCTCGAATAAATCGTATTGGCCAGGTTGGTGTTTACGCTTACGTGCACGTCCACGATCGAGCGGCCTAAAGAGGAGCAAAAAATGTCCGTCAAGATATCGCAGGTTGACCGACCTTGGCGTAATTCGAAGCAAGATGAAGATGAAAATTCTATGAGCATCGTACTCGTTATTAATCTTCTTTAATCAGAATTTTATTTGCTTATGGGAGAAAGGAGTTGTGATTCAACAAGATTCTTTTCTTTTCAAGATTTATTTCTTTTTAAATTGATTTGATATTTAGAAAGTAATAATAATTACAAATAGACTACTGAGTATCAGCATGATGGCAAGATGCAACAGTATAGGGATAAGCAAAAGAAAATTAGAAAAATATAGATACATATGGTGACTTATATACATACTATCTTATATGTATAACATGTTTGTAAATTACCTGTGTTATACAATTTTTATTCTGAAATGCTACAAATCTTTTAACATGTTGCGTTGAACTACTTAAGTTATTTAAATGTTTCTTTCTAATACTGTAGGTATTTGAAATTGTCTTTTAACCTTGTATATTTTTGTTATTTTTATGGTTACTTTATTATTTTCTAATTTAATGCAATGTCAGTTTTATATTAGAGTAAAAAAGATATATACCATTCAGATAATAGAAAGTTTAAATAGTATCTAATAAAGTACCACATTTGAATAGCAAAATGTTCCATTAATTGAACATTTGGATAGGAAAATATTCCAACAATAAAAATTTTGGGTAGTATATATTCAGATAATGGAGATTCTAAATACTTTGAACTTTTCTTGCAACCATTTGATCAGCCTAATAAAAGGTACCTCCATTCACCCAATGAAAGTTTTATGTCTGGCAAATACCATGGCTTACCTATGGAACGTGTTAAATGGCAATATAAGAAGCTGATGTAGCGATTAAAGTTCATGTCCAAGGAATGCTAGGACAAAATTGGAACAGCAGCGAATACCAGTGTATGCTGCTACGTTTCACTGACAAAGGTCATAACCAAGGACGTGGTTCCGCGAATCAGTTACGGCCATGAAAGTGGATAGAAATCAAAACTCATAATACGCTTACGGTCTTGCTAATTAATTCGCGTTCACGGAGTTTCACGTTCGTTCGTGTA